TTCCGCTTCCGGGTTGAAAAACGCACCGTCGCGCTGCTTTGTTTATCCCTCGCCCCCCACCGCGCCCGCGCGCGCACTTGCCCCTACGTGGACACGCGCAGGGCATGCCCGGCCCGCCGCGAGCAGGCGCGGCTCCCCGTGGACAGAGGCCAGGATCGGGTACTGACCCTCCCAATAAGGAGCCATATCCTCGGGGCCACCTCACCTCACCCCGCCCGCCGTCCTGCTCCAGCAGCCCTGTCGCCCGCCGGCCTGCCATTCTCCGCTGAATTTCTCATATTTCCAAGGAGCGTCATGGAAAAAAAATATCGTATAGAACGTGGGAGCGGGTGGAGCAGGGCGGCTGCTATGCTATCGCGTTGCCCGAACCGATCCAGTTTCATCCCGCAGAGCACTCGGGGCGGCAGAATCACTTCTTCGCCGCTTTACTCAACTCACTCTCGCGACGAGACGAGACGAGGCGACGTCGAAGGCCTACGACACTCTGTCGACAGTGTACACTGCACACGCTGCGACCGCTTCGTATCGCGGGCGTTTGCCTCTCGCTAATAAACCGAAAGTGAAAACGCGCGGACTTATTATATATCCCCGCGCGCGCACTTCTTGCTCCTTTTTTACGACCGACAATATAACGCGGGATCGCCAAGTTTTATCGAAATGAGTCGAGATACGGCGCCGTTATTCGCTCGCCGCGCGGCCTCGCGGATAGTAAACTTATCACCACTGCCCTCCTGCTGCATTCGACAGGAGGAGAGCGGCGCATCAGGAGAGAGGAGAGGTTGAAAGGTTACAAAAATATTTATATAGACTTTGTCGACAGTGTACTACACAACAACACTCTGCGCCGCAGGCCGGCAAGTGGGCATGCCAGGACGATCGTCGCAAATCTACGAAAACGATAATCAAATCAGCGAGTCTTATCTGCCGCGCGACGCGCTCGTCTTCAGCGACGGCACGGGCAGCGCCGCCGCCAAGGCCGCAGATCAGCTCACACCTCCGATAAGCCTGGCGAATCGAAGCAGCAAAAGCACCAGCACGGCGCTACAAGCGGCCCGCACGCCGCGCTTTATCTCTTATCAGCCGCTGGAGCTGAGCACAGCGCGCCGCTGGAGCGCCTGCCGAAGGAGCCGTAGGCCGCCCGCCGCGCACGCGTGCGCTCGCCCGCGGACCGGAGGCCTACCCCGGCCGCGTCGGGCGCTCGGCACCGCTCGGGCCCCGCCTCGGGACTCGCGCCTGTGCTTCACTGCCGCTGCTACTGCTGCTTATGCTGCTGGCTGCTGCTGCTTCTGATGCTGCTGCGGCGGCGGCTGCTGGCTGCTGGCTGCTGATTCCCACTTTCCAGAACTTGGCAGCGGGTCTGCGACGACGACGCTCGCGTCGCTCCCTGGACACGCGCCAAAGCCCCGCGCCCCGCGCCCCGCACTCCGAGGCCCGCAGCCCGCACCCCGCGCCCTGTGTCCCGCCCCGCTCGAACGCTAGCAGCTGGTCATCGGGTAAACAAGGGGCCCGGGCGGACCGGACTGTGTCATCAAAGACAGTGGAAACGTTTTCGGGATTCGCGGCATCGGTAAGCAAAGCAACCTCTCTCTCTATGGCCCGAGACGGGACGGGCGAGCCGCGCCGATACGCAGAGATTTGCACTCCCGCTTTGGCGGAGAGGCAGATAGAGTGAGCGAGGGAGAGAGACATAGAGTGAGGGAGGGAGCGATAGAGCGAGAGAGGTACCTGGCCGCTCTCCTGCGTCGACACCACACGACGGCGCTCGGCGCTCTCATCCAATCCTACTCTTCGGCGTGCCGTCGGTGTCACCTTTGTGTCGTGCTCAAAGCTGCAGGCTGACAAGGTACACACTCCGGAGAAGTACATCTCAGCCAAGTACACCCCAGTGAAGTACACCCCGACGAAGCGGCGAAGCACACCCCGTCCAGCACACTCCGGCGAAGTCCACCCCACCCCCACCCGCAGCACACATCGGCGCTGCTGCCAGGTCTCTCTTCTCCCCGTCCCGTCCTCTCTCATCTTGTTTGATTCCGCCCCCCCCCCCTTCACTTCTTTTTGCTTGCGACAGCCCCCTCCCCCCTTCCCTTCCCCCTCACGCACGCCCTCGGAGCAGCAAGCGCACCGCACCTGCCACACATGCGGCCCGCAGGCCGGCGGCGCGGCGGCGGCGGCGTGGAGTGCCTGCCGGCCAATATAAAGCACGAGTGGCGACTGGCCAGGCTCGGCGCGTGTGTGTGTGTGTGCGTACATGTGTGTTGTGTCTGAGTGTGGTCGGCCTTGGAGACCATTCGCTTCCTCTTCCAGGACAGGCCCGGCGGCGGCGGGCAAGCCTGCCGACCGGCCGCAGCATCGGCCAGGTCCGGCCGGAGGACCACTCCCCACCCCACCCTCGCCTCACCTCTCAGGCTCCGAGCGCGCAGCAGCGCCCCGGCTACGGACCGAACCGAGCGAGGATATCGAATGAGACAGAGGAATAAAACAGGGAGACAGCGAGGCACGACAACAAGAACCTCTGATTCAACACACAATACAGATAGAGGCGCGCGGGCGACGAAACTCCGGGGAACTCCGCGGCGCGCATGTCGGGCGCGGGCGCGACCAGGAGGCGGGGGGAGCCCTGCTCAACACCACGAAGCGCGGCTCGGAGCAGTCCCTCGACGACGCCCGCCCCGCCCTCCGCTCCGCCCGGTCAGCTCAGCTCGCCAGTATTTAATTGGCACTGCAGTAGAGCCGCGTGGCAACTACCCGCACGCTCACCCCCCCCCCTCCCCTACATACACGTGGACACGCACACACACATGCGCGCGTCACGCGTTCGAAACACCTGAGCAGGCCGGCCGGCCCCGAGCGTGAAAGCGAAAGTGAAGTCTATGCGGCGGGGTGGGGCAGTGCTGCGGCAGCCACATGCACGCATACGCGCGCCTGGCTGTTATGCGCTGTGCGTTTTATAATTGTGCTCACGAGTAAAATGATAAAAACGCCCGATGAGGTGTGTGTGCCGAATTGGAAGACGGGAAGTGGAAGACGCAGACTGTGGCGGAGGCGCAGGGGAACCCCGCCAGCTCGCCGGCCCAGGCTGCACAGACACGCCTCACAACGGCGACGACAGAAAAAAACAAAATTTAAAAAAAACGCATGCGAGAAGGAATAACCGGCAACCGTCAGGAACCGAAACCAAAGGGTGTTGCATCATTCGTCAGCAGGGTCCACCTCGGCCGGCTCGGGAGCCGCGGGCAACGGCAACGACGTCGATCCGATACGACCCCTTAGAGTACAGAGTCGTACAAACGGAACGACCCGCGCCCCGCCGGTCGGGTCAGGCGGCAGACACAGGTACAGTCAGGCTCAAGGCGAGACACCAATAACCTTGAGCATTTCAGAGGACCGTGGGGCGCAAAGGAACCCTTACGTCGCAACGCCGTGCACCACGTACTCGCGCCCGGCGCGGCAGCGGTCACGGCCTCCAACTCCCATAGCTCTGACGGCGACCTCCGCCCCGACGACACCTGTACGACGACATAGCATGGCGAAAAGGACGACACCCCAAACACGTCCGCGCCTCGAAGCAGCACCTCTTCCTGATCCCCGAGCTCGACGCCGGCCGCCCCCAGCCACACAAATAAACACCGTGTCGTCACGACCCTGGCGCTGGCAATGTTCCTGTCGTATTGCCTCGCCTCGTCGCCTGTTCTGCTGCCCGCACCGAATTCCTTTCCGTGATCATCACGCCACGGCCAGATCCCCCGGGCGAAAGAACATAAGGTCCAATAAAACCAGAGAGTATACACGAAAACACATCTCATATTCAAGAAAAAACACAAAAACAATGGGCCATACACGAGATGTGTCGTATATGTACATTGTACTGTACAATCTCCCACCAAGTTCCCACTCTCGCTCCTCATTCGATTTCGAGTCGATACGAAGTGCTTGTACATTTACAATATTGAATTGTAACTGTACGACTTTTTTTGAATGAAAAATTTTCCTGTACACTGTACGACAAATTTTGGCAGTGAATGTGTGTCACCTAACAACGCCATTAAATGCAAATCTGACCGTCGGAAATTAGAACGTTCCTCACTAGATATAAGTGGCAGTGAGTGTCAAATCTTCGCGCTCGCCAAAACTATTCACGCGGCGCTGCTGCTCCGCCGCGGGCGCGTGCAGCAAAAAAGCGGAAATCCACACACCAAATCGTCCTGGAAATACGGCGGCTGCCGCTATGATGCTGCACGCCGGCGAGGCCTCCTCAAACGAAAAGTGCCGTCAGAGACGTCGTCGCGGGGCGGCAGTTAGAAAGAGAGGCGACCAGGAGGCCCGTCATTACTATCAGCTGGCTCCCGCACGGCTCAAGGTCTGGAGCGGGCGGGGCGGGGCGGGGCGGG